ACCTCCACCACCACCTCCACTGCCATTTCCAGCTTCACTGTCATTAACCAGGCGACAGACACAGGGCTCTAGTTCTGGCTCTGTGACCTTGGTCGTATCACTTAGATTGCCTGAGTCTGTCCCGTGGCCCACCCTACTTCCTTCATGAGAGGACTGAGTAAAAGAACAGTTGTGTGCCCACGCTGGCAAGTTTGCACCTCAAAGGCAGTATTAGTGACTTTCGCATTACCTTTTGCTGGGATGCATAGTGGTGGGATTATTGAGGTGTCTGCTTCCCTCATATTAGCACAGTCCCCACCTGTCCTCATACTTCCAGCATTTTCCAAATTTTCCAAGTCATTCTTTATCCCAAGAGATTAGGCTCTGGCATCATATTATCTGGATTCAAATCCTGGCCTCTGTACTTCTAGCTATGACTCAGTGCCGTTCAAACTGTGGTGGTGACTCATTAACGAGTTGTGAAATCAATTTAGTAGGTCGTGACCAGAATTTAAGAAAAAATAAAACAGAACAAAATAGAGTAGAAAGTATCAGAGTCCATAGCACACAGAAAAGTTAAATACCTGGTGTCATTTAAAAAAAAAAAAAATCTCCATTACGTGTGTGTCTTTACATCATTACATCTTGGTATTGATGTAAAATATATTTCTTAGAAACAAAGAAGTCTGAAAAATATTAGTCTTTATGATCCTGGGAAAATTGATTAACCTAATCTCTCTACGTTTCATTTCCTCTTTTGTACAGTGGGGATGATAATAGTTCCTCTCTGCTAGGATTATTGTGAAGATTAAATTAGTTCACACAGTTGACCCTTGAACAACACGAGTTCAAGCTGTATACCCACTATATGTGGATATTTTTCATCCTGGAAACAGATGACGTAAACTTTTGGTATCAATAAGTACAGCAAGTACTGTAAATGTATTTTCTCTTCTTTATGATCTTAATAACATTTTCTTTTCTCAAGCTTACTTTATTGTAAGAATATAGTGTATAATACATGTAACATGCAAAATATTTGTTAATCGACTGTTTATGTTATCCGTAAGGATTCCAGTCAACAGTAAGGCTAGTAGTAGTTAAGTTTTTGGGAGTCAAAAGCTACGCGCAGATTTTCAGCTGTGCCGTTAATGCCCATGTTGTTCGAGGGCCAACAATACATGTAAAACATTTATAACAATCCCTGTTACATACTAATTACTCAACAAATGTTACCTCTTATTGTTAATAAAGCACCCAATGGCTGGTACATATAGGCACTTATTTTTTCTCTCTCTAAAGAATTACAAGTATGCAAGTAAATGTTACCCTTGTTCATTCATTATTTATCAACTGAATGAATTTGCTGGTGGGTTGGACGAGATGGTGGGGGAGGTTTGCTCCTGTCCTGGGGTTCCACCTGGTGAATGGTTAAGGACTGGCTTCTGGGGGATTGGCTGAGGTCTAGAGTTACTTGGAATACTCAGAGCCTGTCCCAGTCCAGAAGGGATGAGCAGAAAAGACATCTGAGAATAAGGTTCAGAGCCATGTGTGCATCTGTCTATGGGGAGCAAGGAATTAGCACAAGCTCTGCAGACAGATTTCCTTTTGACTCCTAGCTCCACTATTTGCTAACTTACTTCACCTCTCTGTGCCTCAGTTTCCTCATCTGGAAGGGGGAATAAGAATAGTTCCTACCTCATAATGTTGTCATGAGGATCAAATATTTGTTAGGTACTTAATAGTTAACTCATAGGATTATGAGGATAAAATGAGTAAATACATAAAACATATGTATACATATAACACATTCATACATGAATGCAGTAAATACATCTAACACTTAGAATAATGCCTAGTATGTAGTGAGTGCTCAATAATTGTTAGGCATTATTATGAGAAGCCTAACTCTGGGCCCAAGGTGAGCTGAGCTTGGAGCCAGTGTGGGGGAGGTGGTCTGATCTTCTCCCCAAGCAATGCATGCTCGGAGAATCCAGAAAAAAATGACCTAGGTTCTCTCTCCTCTTCCCAGTTTGCCAGAACTTATCATCACTATCTTACACCTTTGTTGTGCTTTCATATACATCATTTTATGCAATCCTCACAATTACCTAATGAGATAAGGAAGTTGCATATCTACATTTGTCAGATAGAGAAACTGAGACCCAAGGAGGCAAGTAGAACTGGGAAAAGCACACCACTACTCGCTGCTCGGTCTTTCCCCAACTGCAGCAGACACTGCCGTTTGCCAGACAGTAAACTCCCTGAGGCAGGGTGTCTATCTTGTTCACCTGCTGGAGGGACAAGGCCTTCCTTGTATCCCAGAAGGCAATGCCATCAGTATATCAACTGTCCATCAATGCTTGGGGTGGGGAGGCAGTAGTAGGAGGTGAGAGGCCTCAGCTGAACAAGTCTCTAAGAAGATCCCAGATGATGGCCATTTACAGGGTCCAACTACTCCCCCCAAACCACCCAGGCAGGGACAGGCAGGACTGTGCTAGCCACACCCTCTGCAGAGCCTGAGCCAGCCCAGCTGGGGGAGCTTTGCCCCTGCTCTCTCTCTCAGGGGCTCTCAAAGGCCTGCTGTGGGGCTCAGTGGGAGGGGGTTGTGAAGAGAGGACAGGACAGTGAGTCAGCTGCTAAGGTATTTCTCCAGCAGCTGCTTCTCAGGCGATAAGGGTTTGCCAAGCCGGTTCCTGGGGCCTGGGAAAGGAAAGATGCTTCCTCCAGTCTGAGCTGGGGTCCATGAAGGCCTTGGCTCCAGGCAGATGGGCCTAGTTCTTCTCAGAGACCCCTTTTGGGGTGCCAATAGGAACCTGCCCAGGGAGCTCAGTTGGTCCCCTTTTGTGAGCAGCCCCCACCTCACCTGCTGGAAATAGCAGCCAAGGCCCAGCAGGATGGAGCTTCCAGAGGGTGGGAGCCAAGTGGAAGGGGAGGGCGGCCAAGGGGCAGGACGGGTGGGGGTGGAGGACACTCGGAAAATCCAGTCTTTGCTCAGGGCTTCCTTGTGTGCTGGGCCCACCTCTGGTGGCAACAGTGGTCATGTGCCATTCCCTGCCACACCTCAGGCCCACCGCCTGCTCATGGGAGCATGCCAGAAGGGACTCCCTTTAGGGAACTTTTAGCAGCTCAGTTATGGTTGGTTTATATCATCAAGTTGGAGGCAGAAGGGACCTGATAAAGCTCGCGGTACGCCCTTTC